TCGCTGTGTCTCTCTCTGTCAAATAAATAAATAAAATCTTTAAAAAAAAAGAAAAAAAACAAATGCAGTTGACAAACGAATAACATGGGTTCAAATGACCTGGGTCCACTTATATATAGATTTTTTTGTTGTTGTTGATATATTGTGCAGTATTGTAAAAATGTTTTCTGTTTATTATGATTTCCTTAATATTGACTCTTCTTAAGCTTACTTTATTATAACAATACTGTGTAAAATACAGATAACATGCTAAGAATGGGATATTGACTGTTTATGTTTTAGGTAAGGCTTCTGGTCAACAATAGGCTATTTTCATGGAAAAGTAGGTATGATTTTACTTCTGGGGACCCAAAAGTAAAAAGCAGATTTTCAATTGTGGCAGAGTTGACACCCCTAATGTCTGCATTGTCCAAAGCTAAAATGTAATTGATTTAATGTTGGATTTTTCTCCATAGTAAATACCCTAATTTAGAATCATGTCTGGAAAATGAGATTGACTTATTGCTTTCTGCTATGAATTCTGATTTTATATAAATTTCATTCCATTACATAGTTTGCCAATTGTTCACATCTTTAATGTTTTTATCCTTCATGAAGACTTTTTTCTGAAGTATATATTAAAAACATAAGTTTTTCATCAATCATTACATTTCTGGAATTTCGATCCTGTATGCTTTCTCTGAAGTTGAGGAAGAGTAAGTTCCATGTGAAGACTTTGCCAACATTCTTGACATTTGTACAGTATCTCCACAGGATGTATTATCTCATGTTGAAGAGTTTTGATTATGAAATAAAAGCTTTGCCACATTTTTTACATTTTTAGGGTTTCTGTCATCATGCACTCTCTGATGTTTAGAAAGTTCTGTTTAAAGGCTTTGCCACATTTTTTTCATTTTTTACATTTGTCAGCCTTCTTACCAGTATGTCTTACCTTATGTTGATAAATTTTGAGTGGTAGTCAAAGGCTTTGCCACATTGTTTACATTTGTAAGATTTCTTTTTTTTCTTTCTTTTTCTTTCTTTTTATTTATTAGAGCGTGAGCAGGAGAGAAACAGCATGAGAGGGGAGAGGGTCAGAGGGAGAAGCAGGCTCCCCGCTGAGCCGGGAGCCCGATGTGGGACTCGATCCCAGGACCCTGGGATCATGACCCAAGCTGAAGGCAGTTGCTTATAACTGAGCCACCCAGGCGCCCCTACATTTGTAAGATTTCTTTCCAATATGAAATCTCTGCTGTTGACCAAGTTTTGAAGACCACTTAAAAGGTTTGCCAGAGTTACATTTGGAAATCTTCTCTCCCGTGAGGATACAATGGTGTACAACAAGATTTGAGTTTTCATAAAAGACTTCCCCACATGTATTACTCTTATACTAGTTCTCTGGAAACTGAGTTCCTTGAGGCTTATAGAATTTGACCCTTGATTAACGTTTTTCCAAGATTCATTCCATTGATACATTCCGTCTCCATTATAAACACCTCAGTAATTATGGAAGCTAGAAAGGTCTATAGTGAGGACTCCAAGTGCAGAACACGTAACATAAAAAAAAACTTGCTCTAAGTTATGTATTATGGATAACTACGGAACAGTGATGTTTCCATAAAGACCCCCCCCCATGTTTATCAAAATTAGAGACATTGGAAAAGGATAGATTATGTGTTGGTTGAAGAATAATGAACCTTCTGAAAAGGACTTCTCAAATCAATCACATTTAGAATTTTTATCTTCCTTTTTCAATGTCTAACTTTCAGAGATGTTTCTGTGCATGACTAATCCAAACTTATATTTGAAATGGTTTAAATGATTATTTTCAGCATGGACTAGGGGGATTTTCTAGAATTTACAAATGCCCTTTCAGAGAATATGTATGTATAAAAATGGATTTGGGTCCTTGGGTCAAAGACATTGTTCTGCAAATATAACTTGACTTAAGGTGGGGTTTTCTCCCCCACCCCCCACTGAATGTTTTATATCCTTGATCTCTTCTGGCAGGAGGGATTTCATTATGGGTAATTGTCCCAGTTTGGTTTTATCCGTCATAACATCCTTCCTGCCCTTCCCTCCCCTCATCACATTCATAGTCATTCATAAGTATAAATACTCAGGGCCACAGCTTCCATATCTTCCCATATCACAATCTTCTTTGCCTGTCTTTGCTAACAGGCCTAGGGGATTATGGAAAGACACAATTAAAAGATACAAAAAAAGTTATCCCACTCACTATGTTCACATGCATATACATTAAAATGCTAATATGCCCCATTAATACCTATCATAGGGCATCAGCAATTGAGGAATTGGAAGCCCTTGAACTTTGCTCTTCCATGGAGACAAAAATGGACAAAATTACCTTTTAGGGTGCTCCAGAAGCCAGAGAGGAGAACACGGCACACCCAGCAAGTACAAATGCAGAAGGGCCACATCAAAGAGACAAGGGAAGTTTTTGACACTTGCCCACTGCAGCAGCTCACCCTCCCTGACACTCCATGGCAACACTGTGAGAAAACTCTTACAAATGAGTGACCTGTGTATTCAATGATCAGACTTCTTAGCAGCTGCCTGAGGAACTTGTTTCTGTCGTTAATGACATGGAGAAAAGAGGGAATGAGAGTACCCTTTGGAAGCAGTGTGGTAGCTACTCAGACAAAGGGTGAGTATTTGTTCAAACAATGGACAGATAATAAAGCTGAGGGGAAACAAAGAGAGGAAGGTATCACGGGCTGTAAAGAAGTAACTGTACTTTTGTAACCTGGGAAATTACAAAAACTTAGACATGACAAATGCCCAGAATATGTGTGACACATGCCATAATTACTATTATCTGTGTTCTTTTCTACAAAGCAAGTCCATAAAACTGGGCCCAGAGGCTTTCTTTTTTTTTTAATTCCGAAATGTCAATAAAAGATCACAAGCAAACAAAAGAAATAGAAAAATGTGTTCCAATCACAAGAACAAAATAAATCCCACAAACTGACCCTCAATTAATAAAGCACTCTTACTTGCATGACAAAGAATTAATCATCATAAAGACGTGCATGGAGAAAGGAAGAGAAAACAGATATGTAACTAAATGATATCAGAAAACTGGGCATGACCAAAATGTAAACCCAAAGAGACAAAGTATAACAATCAACCAACCAGGAATTGGGAGCTGAAGAATACAATGACTGAATTTAAAAACACACCAATGGGTCACCCACAGACTTGCTCAAGCAGAAGAAAGAGTCAGACAATCTAAAGACCCCTTGTTTTAAACTGTCTACTAAGAAGATGAAAGAAAAATGTGGAAAAGGACACGGTCTGGGGACTCATGGGACACCAATAAGTGGACCGAAATGTACACTAAGGGGACATCATAAGGAGGGGAGAGTGAAAGGGGGCAGAGAGTTGACATGAAGAACTAAAGGCTTCTACTTCACACATATGTGGAAAGAAGAGACAAATTCAACAATATCAGTAAATTCATAGTAGGATAAATGTCAAGACATGAACACAGTAACACATTATAATTAACCTATCAAAAATCAGAGGTGAGGGGCACCTGGGTGGCTCAGTCGGTTAAGCGTCTGCCTTCGGCTCAGGTCATGATCCCGGGGTCCTGGGATCAAGTCCCACATAAGGCTCCCTGCTCAGCGGGGAGCCTGTTTCTCCCTCTTGCTGGCCTGCCACTCCCCCTGTTTGTGTGCGTGCTCTCTCTCTGTCAAATAAATAAATAAATAAAATCTTTAAAAATCAGAGGTGAAAAAGAGAATTTTTTTTTTTAAAGATTTTATTTATTTATTTGAGAGAGAGAATGAGACAGAGAGCATGAGAGGGGGGAGGGTCAGAGAGAGAG